AGTAATTTCCCCCTTGGCAACATTTTCTTTCTAAATCTTACATTTGTCTCCAATAACGAAATCAGCCAAAAATTTGTGGCAACTCCATGAGTATTTAATATCATTTATGCTAAGTTATTTTATAAGTGACAAATCGTCTTCATTCACTCATTCATATGTGTGTCCATTCATTAGTTCATTCATTCACTCATTGTGCATCTACTCTATAGCAGGCATTGTTTTGAGTTGTGGGGATAAACCAGTGAACAAAAAACAGCCTCAGTTTTCAAGAGGCTTACATTGTTATGGAGGAAGAAAGGCAACAAGTAAACATATGCTCTGTCACATAGTTGTAAGTGCTAAGAAGGAAAATGAAACCAGGTGAAAAAGACAAACATGGAGGACTGGGCCTTTAGTTACGGCAGTTAAGCAAGGCCTTCACCGGTAGGGTGAGAACTTGAAGAAAACGAAGGAACGAGCACTCAGGTGTCTGGGGGAAGAATGTGCCTGGCAGAGGAAACAGATCACAGTTCCTGAGGTCAGAGTGTGCAGGACTGTATGCATGTAGGGAGCCTCAAGGAGGCCCTGAGGCTGGAGACAAGGTGAGGATGGTAAGATCACATTAACAACAGATGGATGGATATCTCCAGTTTGAGATTTAAAAAAAATTTCTTTATACATAGGCAAGGCCATATTGCCAAACTCCCAATTCGAGGACCAACTTGAATAATTACAAATGTATCTAGCATATTGAGTCCTCTAGTTTCAGAACATGCCGATTTTATTCTACTTTGGCTCTGTCACACGCTGGCCGTGCTGCCAGGGCAGTTGAGCCTGTTTGCTCTTCTTTAAAGTGAGGTTGCTAATACCTGTCCTGTCCTCCACACAAACCTGAGGGAAGGGTCAACTGACTTACTGGACTATGAAATTATTTCAAAAACTAAAGGATGCTTTTTGGGTTATTATTCCACAAAGGAGTGACATAGGGCTTTAAGGCAGGTTTTGAAAGATCTGGCAGGTCACTGAGCAGGGCTTCCCATTGCAATTACCAACAATTTCATAGTATATATCAACTTCTGTAAAATGCAGAATCCATGGTGTGACTTTGTCAGATGGCTTCTTGGAATCAGAGCCAGAATGACCATTCAATTAAATGCACTGGAAACATGCATTAGTGCAGACAATTTAGCGTACATACAGACAACTATTCATTCTCATTATCCTTTCAAGGTGTCATCATCTGACTGTATGTGCACCCAAATATAGAGAATCTATGTTAGGAGAAACTAGAAAACGGGAGAACCAGATTTTGGCTTACTTTTATGTGTTTTTTAAACTGCTTTTTAACTTACAGTAGTAAACATTTTCATCCACATAGGCATTGAGCAATATTATTTGTTTCAGGACTGCCTCAATGTAAAAGAAAAATTATTTAGCTATCTGATGGGAGGAAAAATTCGTGTTCTGTATTTGGCAGAGACTTCTTTTGCATTAGATATAGAAATGTGAATAAAGGACATTTTACTTTATTTTGATTTATAGCAAAAAAATCACGAGAAATGTACTTTAGTAAAATCTTTAGAGAAATTTTCTAAACAACATGAAGGTTTAGCAGTTTTCAGATGAAAATTAGAAATTCATTTTGGATAATTTAAACTTTTAAGAAGCCACCTAATGTTGATTCTGTTGAAATATTACAGTTTCAAATAAAACAATTTAGTGTCTTAACATATGTTAAATGCCAGTGAGCCAGTTCTGCGGAAGTCTACTTGTTTGAATTTATTTTGGTACATAAAGTTACCTTCCTGTGATTTTGTAGTTCTAAACAATTTTTAATATAATTGCTTGAAATTGAGTAAGGCGTAGAATTTTTGAAGCTTTTTTTAAAATGCTGTTGAATCTTTCCTCAGCACAGTGTAAAAAATTTTGAAAAGAATATTTAATTAAAATAATCAAATTTGAATTCTTCTATAAATCAATTCAGTAGCCTTTGCCACCAGTTTCAAGCCTGTATTTCTACTTCCAGGTAGATATAGCTGACATTGAGAATGAAGAGAACCGCTACTGTCTGTTCATGGAACTCCTAGAATCTAGTCACCATGAGGTTGAATTTCAGCACTTGATTTTGCTCTTGCAAGCTTGGCCACCTATAAAAAGTGAATGTGTGTAAGT